TCCACACAGTCAACAGTGCAGAGAAGCTCTCCTCCCACGCTGTCTCTGGTTCTGTTGTTTGTTGGAACTGCTCAGTGCAGTGACAGTCCTGACAGGTTCAAGACCAGCACAGGGGTGGGGGTTAAAAGTCAGGCCATGGCCCCACCTATCTCCAACCTCAGCACAAACTATGGAACCCCCTTCCTCTGGAATCCTCCTGGCAGATACTGTTGTTCCTAGGGCGCCAGATTATAGTTGGGAAAATTTGGAGGGAGACTGCCGATCCCTGTCCAGACAAGACCTCCACATGACTAGTCTGATTTTTTCAGGGCATTTTCTGAGCCTTTGAATGCAGAGATAGTAAAATTTTTGCTGCATTTCTGAGTGGAGTGTGAGCCCTGGGCACTGTCACACTGGGACATAAGGTGAGCAACAAAGCCTGCAAGGTCCTTGGTCTTTCCCAAGAGTTACACTGACCCCTGCTATCTTCTGAATGTCTGGGCTGTTCTTAGTTCCAGGTGCACACAGGGCCTCAAGCTGGAATTTGCTTCCTTTCATTGGAATAACGTGCAGGGTGATTTGCAGTCTCTGAAGTCTCTAGGCAGTGATGCAAAGACCAGTTCTCCCCAAGCAGGGCCGGATGTAATGGGACCCCTTTCTGTTTTGCATCTTGTGTTTTGATGAGCCTCTCTGCAGGATGCCCAGGGGAAAACAATTTTCTTTTTCTCTCAGTCCCAGTCTCTTCTAACTGGCTTTGCAAGATGGAGAGACAAGGAATCTGCTTTGCATTTTCTCTGCGCTGAAGGAGCTAAAAGAGGGAGACCAAATTTAAAAAAATGTTTGGAGATTGGAGATTTTTTTTTTTTGAGGCTTTTTATTTTTGGTACTGGGAATTGAATGCAAGACCTTGAGCTTGTCAGACAGGCGCAGTGCCCCTGAGCTATCCCCCCCCACCCGAGGTTAGAAATTTTAATCATGAATATTTGAGATTTAAGACACATCCCTGACTTGGCAGGACACAGGGCGCATTCTCACTGAACCAGCCATTCCTTCAGGGCAAAAATTTTATTGCCTCAATCTTTGAGTTAATGAGTACATTTTTGGAATGTATTTATATGTACTCACCTTTATATGGTGGCTTATAATTTATTATCCACTTATTTATTATTTCCTTTAAACTTCACAATCACCCTGTGAAAAGGATGTTATGATTATCTCTGTTTTGCAGGAGGGGTAACTGAGGTTTGGAGAGGTTTAGTGATTTTCCTAAGATCACAGACGTGAGGATTCAAATTGTTTTTGACACCAAATAGAAGTTCTTTTTGCCCCCGTGGATCAGACTGACTCTGAACATTTCACATCGTCATACAACAAACCAGCCTGTTAGTCATCTAAAAATAACACAGCATCATAAACATAATCATGCTGAGTGCGACTCACAAAGGGAACCAGGGCTTTGGCAGAGATGGTTATAGGCACCATGGTTTCTAAGTGGCAGCAATAATCTTCCTCTGTGCCCAAGACCCCTGCAGGGAGCTGTGTACCACTTAGTACTCATGCTTACAGGAAGAGTGGCTATGGTGAGCTTAGTAGGTGTTACGTTTTTGTTTGCTTTAATAGCAAACTAAAAGATTGTGTTTTCAAGATTGCAAAAGGCTGGAGAAACTGAAAGTGGCAAAATATTGAGCAAATTGAAAGGTTAAAAACACAGCAAAGCTTGTTACTGTGGGAACCCCTGGTTCACAGTGAAATGTAACTAGGGACACTGCAATCTGCAGGGAGGGGATAAATCTCAACTTTCTCTCACTCACTCTCTCTCTCTGTCATAGTCCAGGAATTTAGAATGTTTCTTTTGCATTTTTAAGTGATTGGAAAAAATTCAGAGAAGAGTAATGATGTCAAATTCAGATTTTGCTGTCCATAATAAAATTTTCTTGGAGCAGAGCCATGACCTCTCATGTGTACATTGTCTCTGGTGGCTTTTATGCTACAAAAGAAGAGGTGAATATTTATGACAGAGATCTTTTGTCTTCTGCAAATGAACGCTGACTAGCTGGCCCTTGGCAGAAAAAGTGGCTGATCCCTCACCTGGTGTTTTGGTGAAAGCGGTAGTTAAAGTAGCATGTGTGCTGTGTGTCTTTCTGACACTGCCTAGTGACGTGCAGGACTGAAGGTTGCAGGGGGTCTTTCTCTTTTCACCTCCACTCAAGTAGATGAGGTACTGCTGATGCTGTGTCCATGTTTTGCCACTGAGTCTGCCAGCTGTGAAAACAGCCTGCTATGCGCAGCTGGCCCGGTTAAGGTGGGCTCTGGACCTTCCTCAAGTGGCCATGTGTCCAACATCCTCAGGTTAGATACCCAGTCTCCCAACCTCCCGGCCTCACTTTGCTTCTCTTTAGAATAAGAAGGCCAGCATTTATGGATAGCTTAGTCTGGACCACACACTGCGTGCCCAATAGTTGCTTACCTGTCTCGTAGAATGGAGTTCTCCTAGGAGGTAGATGTGATGATTATGAAAATGATTCCTGTTTTACAGCTGTAGAGAGACGCAATAACTTCTCCCATCCCAGGAAATAGCAGAGCCAGGACTCATTGATTCTTGACTCCAGAGATGGTATGGAGGTAGGGCTGTGGGTGTGGGCAGTTCCCTGAGGAGCCGAGGGGCTTTCCCACTTCCCTTCCACCCTGGCAGCCTTCCCTGGATACCTGCTCACTGCCCAGCCACCCCAAACCCAGGGCTTCTTGATGCTTTCCTCTTTTTTTTTTCTATAATGAACTGAGAGATGCTACATACGTAAGACACTTTATTTAAAGAATGAAAATCAAATGAGAGATGCGCTATAACATTAAAATAAAATCTTCCCCCCAAGGAGACTAGTTGACAATTGAGCATTGGGACACAGGGTCTCGCTCCAAGCTGGAAATGTCCCAGCTAGAGGTGCTCACTTTCTGTTTCACTGTGTTAGACAGAATCCCCAAGGGTCTGGGACGTTGTCTGCAGAGAGTTTCTGCCCTCTGAGATTGACTGAGACTGATTTCAGCTCTCAGCACCTCGAATCTTCCTGTTCAGGGTTTCTTCTGCTCCGGCCTCTTATCCCACATCTTTTCTGCCTTCTGCTGTCATCTCCTGTCTAGACCTACCTTCCCTGGGCCACATGCCAGGCTCCAGGTTGCCTCTAACATCTTTCGTCCATGGAAACATCTATCAGTGTGAGGTGTTACCTCTTCCCAGGGACACTTGAGGTTACCATTTCTTGACATTTGTCTCCCTTGAGGTAAGCATCATTTCCATGGGAGAGCTTCCTTCGCCTTCAAATATTCCACGTATTGTGTGTTTTCAACTTACGAATGTAAAGAACTCTCTGAAATATAGTAATATCTCGGTTCACAAACAAAAATGTTTGGCAAAATTCTGCTTCTGTTGGTGAATGCCGCATCGAATGATGAACATGACTGTGGCCGCCTTCCCCAGACCATCTTCCCCAGAATCATGGAGTGAATTAAGCTCATGAACTGAGGTACCACTGTATGTGCTTGGGAGCTCAGGAACACAGGATTAAGGCTTTGCTACCAATCTCGCACTTTCATTTGAGGGCTACTCAGGTTTGTGTTGAGAAATAGCATCCTTGGTACACTTACCTGAATACTTACAATTCTAAAAATACCCATGAAAAGAAAAACTGACATTTCTAATTGTCCAATTGCAAGATGTTTCAGGGAGGAGGTGTCTTATTTTGTGAACTACCCTTTGTGACAATGCTAACAATGCCTTTCTGACAAGGAATGTTTCCTTTCTCAAATAGCCACTCTCAAGTGACCCGTGCTGGCCATTCTTTAGTTCAAGTGACCCAGAACTGGTAAAGCTGGAGGCACGAGGTGCTGATTGCTTTGCCACAGACAAGTACCAACCAAAAAGGATGCATCCTTGCTCTGGCCTCTATTTATTTATCTTGGTTTTCTGGCCTCTGTATGCTTTCTGTTCACTCCATTTCCTTCATGCTTTTTTTCCTGTCTTCTCATTTTGTCTCCTCCCATTTGGAAAACGAAACATTCAAGATGGGCATTGGTGGTTCATGCCTATGATTCTAACACCCTGGAAACACAGACAGGAGAATTACAAGTAAAGCCTAGCTTGGCTAGCTTAGAGACCTAGCAAGATCTTTGTCTCAAAATTAAAAAATAAGAAAGAGAATGAGGATGTAACCCTGTGCAAAAGCCCAGGGTTCAGTTCCCAGCACGGCACAGCAAAGAAAAAAAAATTAGAACAAACCAAGCCAAATCAAAATAGCAGCAGCCGCAACAACAAAAAACATTAGACTGATTATCTGCACTCCGTTTCATATTTGTTTCAATATGACCTCCTACATTGTTGATCTTTGTGCACTTTCAGTTTCTCATCACCGTGTCTAGAAATTCATGGAATCTGGATGCTACCCTCTCAGCACCCCCATCAGTGTACATGGTCTCTGTCCACTTGGTCGAACACAAAACTTTTTTTCAAGTACACTTTCCTTGGAATGTCCGCAGTGCTTGACTTTCCTTCTGGAATCTTTTTGTTTGTAGACATTCTGGTTTTCTTTTTCCCTCATAGGCTGCGTGCTATCTCTTTATGAGCCTTCTTTCCCCTAATATGGGTTAGTCAAGTGTCTATCTTTTTTTCACCCAGACCAAGATAACCCTGAAAATTAAATGATGTCCAGTGGGCAACATATATTAAGCAAAGCTTGTCCCAGGAAAGTTGAGATCTGGTTACCTTTACCCTGAGAATGAGCAAGAGCCCAGGGAAAGATATGAATGAATCTGGATCAAGGAGCTTTTCTAAGTCTATCTTCAAGCTTATTAGCTACTTTTATTTAGGATTGGAACTAAACAGTTTGGCTTCGCATTCATGAATTAATCCAATCACGCAAGAAGAAATGTCAGAGCAGGTTTAGAGTGAAAACAAAATCAGTGAAGAGAGACTCAGGTGAGAAAAAGGCAGAGTAGTTGGTCCAGATCTTGTGATATCCCCTGGCTTTGACTCAATGTATTTGTCCTTTAAGATAAAGCTGAACTCTGTGCTGATACCTCTTCCAGGCTCTCCTCAGTCCAGGATAACACAAGATCAGTTGTGCTGAGTGGCTGGCTGGGTAGGCAGCAGTGATAATTCTGCACAAAATACCCCAGGGACTGTACATGTCAAAGATGTTGGACATGGATATAAATAGAGCAAGTGCATTGGTAATGTAGAGAATTAGAAAACAGCCAGTGGATCTGATGGCTCCCAAGTGAGCTTCCACGCTTGGATCCCTGGAGCCTGTGGCACTGCTTTTCATGTGCCTGATGTGTCTCTTGAGAGAAATGATCAGCAGAGTGGCCGCCATGATGAACAGGATCAGAGGAATAAAGATTCCTATGTAGTAGAAAAAACTCAGGTTGACCACATTGGTCTCAGAGATATACTTCTTCTCAGTGGAGTTGGAGGAAGTGACAGGAAAGGAGCTATTCACATGAATATGGAAGGTGTTTATAAGGAAAAGAGAGCTCACGCCCAAGGAAACTAACAGTGACAAACTCACAAGCCAAGGCATCAGCACTGTGATCTTCCTCTTCATCAGCAAGAACAAAAACTGGGTGAAGTTGGCAATTTTAAGACAATAGAAGACATTGAGCCAGGTAGCAAACCAGAGGTTGGAATAGTTCAGAAACAAAAGTGTGATTTGGAAGAATTGATTCAAAGACTTTTGGTAGTAAATGTCTTGGAAGAAGTAAGTGTATATAATTGTCACTATCAGCCAGATCTGTAGTACAAGCCTGGAAGAGCTCAGCAGCAACATAAGGCCATCGCTGGTGGGGAGTCTTTTGTTCCTGACCCATTCAGCCCCATAGATAGCAGTGATGAAGCCATTTCCAAGGATACCAGTCATGGTTTCCATGCTAAAGATCACCGAGGAGAAGACGATTTTAAATGTGGTGATATTTTCATTACTGAACTCTTGTTGCACGATTGCCATTCTTCCTGAGTAACTTTCAGGTCTCTGCCCCAGGAACTGGTGACTGCTGTGTATTCCTTGGACCTTCACTCAACATTAATGTACTTCTCCCTTTAGTTAATGGTTATTTCTAAGTTTTCTTCATTTGTTTGTTACATAACAAGTTAGAGGCTTGACATGCAAATAATGAGAGGATCTGCTTACTGTTCTGTCTCAACTTTTCATAAAGGCCCATGTGTTTTGGGCTTTTGGAAGCTCATTGGTTAGAATTTGCAATGTATGCCAAACAGCACACTTCCTTGTCTTATTTCCTTTCAGATGATACTCCCCACTCCCACCCCAAACTGGGCAAGAATACCAAGCTAGGAATATCAGTGTCTCATAGCCTTTGGTCCCCTAAGACCCCTGTTGTTAAATTATCATGAAATCTCATACTGGACCTTTTATTTCTCCTGCTTTTTTCTTTGTCTCTTTTCATTTTGGTAGGCTTCTATTTCTATAGTTACTACGTATGTGAGAAAGAAATTCCCGTGATTTCAGGAATGAACATCTTTTACTTAGAACCAAATTTCTTTCACAAAGGCCAGCTAATATAATATCCTCAAACATAGAAAAGACAAAATTGGGTATGAATTGCATAAACTGAAGGCAATAAAGTTAGTTTTCATTGGGTGAACCTCCAATTAAAACTTACTAAGTTCCACATGACTTTTTGAGCCTAGAAGCAGGTAGATGTAGCCTGAGAAGGCCTCACCGTGGTCTGAACATGATGTAGGAGTTGGGAAATGTGACAAAACATGGCAGCTCAGAATTTAACTTTCTGCTTCTCAGTTCTAGTTGTGAATCAGTGTGAATTCTGCAGTACTTAAAAAATAAATAGAGATGTTCAGGCTTCATACCAAATCTACTACATCAGAGCCTTGGAAAAGACTCAGGTGTGTTATTTTTTTTTTTTTTTAAGAGCAGAAATATTTATTGAGAGAAAGAAAGCTTTTGTCTGAGAGAGAGAGACAGAAGGGGTATTTTCTCGAGATTTTTATAGAGTAAAACCATGAAGTGAGGCAGGTCTAAAGTTGGGGAGAACTGGCAACTTGTTACGGTTAGCCAATAAGATTTATAGCTCAGGTAAAATGATTAAATTGGGAACAAATGGGGAAGCGAGTCACGTAGAAAGTGGGTATTCTTAGAGAGCAGTGACTCCTCCTATAGGGGATTGGGAGGGTGACTCTTGGCTTCCCAAAGTGAGCCAGATTTAATCCCTAAGGATTATACTTAAGGGTATAGTTACATTTGTTTTGCTTTCTGTCTTGAGATCTGGCCCACAGCAAGAGATGTGTCTTCTCCAAGGTCATCAGACATCTGGTTCTCTGTGCTGGCTTCTTTTGAGGGCCCAGTCCTGTCTGACTGCCTATAATTTTTCTAAATAGCTCAGCTGCCTGTAACATTTCCCCCTCTGAGGAAGTATCTCGAACTGCCATGAGGGAGAAATGGGTGATGATGGATCTGGCTTCTTCAGGCTGAATAGGGATGTAGCTGTTGATCAGCAGTGACATATTCTACAGAGGGTCTATCTAAAGGCCCTCGACAGACTCCAGGCAGTTTCATCTTGGGTGGCTGTACTGCTTTAACTATGGAGAAGACAAAGCCAAGGAAACAATTAAGCATACATGGCCCAGATGATATAATCAACAGGATAATTATGAGTACAGTTAATAAATATTTCTACTACGAGGAGCTAGTAATGGCCTCCCATAAGGAGGAAAAGGATAAGGTTCAGGGAATTTTAGAATCTGACTTGTTATTAATTGCCATCTAATTTTTTTTCTTTTTTGGTCTTTTTTCATTTTTATTGGTACCAGGGATCGAACTCACGACTGCCTGCTTACAAGGCAGGCGCTTATGCCGCTGAGCTAAATCCCCAGCCCCAGCCATCTAATATTTTGAATGGCTGTTGAGATATTAACAGAATGATTAGAATATGCACACAGCATTCAGTTTTTATAATTACACAAGTATCGCCTTGTGCTGCCATTAGAATGTCTAATGCCATTGAAGAACAGCTTGTCTCATTAATTTTATTTTATTTAGGAGAGGGATCAGTTGCATTGTCATTTAAGGCTCTTTGAGTACAGTTAAGGCCTTGATATATGTCACATAAGTTTCTCTGAACAAGATCTGATGGCTCCCAGTAAAAGAATCTAAAAGGAATCTAGCATATTATTGGTTTTCATCTGTATGATGCCTTGGGATTTGGCACCTTTAGACAGCAACAATTTTTAATCAAGGTACATATAATCAATGTTAGTATGCAGAGGCATATATAATCAAAGCATGAGTAGTAGTACTGACAGTTAAATTTGGAAACTGTTTCTAACTTATGACAATTGTAACCTATTGACACTTGGGTCCTTTTATTGATGGAGTCTGACATCATCATAATTTATTTTTAGGTCTTTAGTTGTAATTATCTCTAAATTTGATTAACTTATGAGCATCAGATTAATACTTTCTTTTGATAAGTGAAACTCTTATGTTTTTATATATGAACAATAATATGTACTAGATTTGTAAAAACCAGTCTCAGCATCATTTATTTGTTTGCAACTTAGATATATATTATAGCACTTAGGATAAAATCTCTCCAGGATTGGAGTTGGGTTTTTTATAACCAAAAGAATAAGTGAAGAGAAAATTATCCCAATTAGAGTTTAAGCAACATATATATTTTGCTGGCTGATAAAATGCCTGGAAGGACAAAGAGACCTGTGCCAGTGTCCAGCAATTGGCTGGTTTTTGCCTCTGGTCATGATTACTCAGGGCTCCTCTGCAGAGATGATAGGCAGAGATGACAGTCTGGACAGAGGGAGGAGTTGAGTCCCCAAGGCCCTTTAGTCCCACTGGACCAGATGATAGGATGGGTCTGAACCCTGGGGCCTGGGCCTTAGAGGACAGTCCAACCTCCAGTGGTTGCCTTTGCAGTTAGGGGATGGCTTGGGGGTCTTTTAAGGCAGTCCCTCTTAAAGTGGCCTGGCTTGGGGCTGGGGATTTAGCTCAGTGGCGTAAGCGCCTGCCTTGCAAGCAGGCAGTCGTGAGTTCAAACCTTGGTATCGATTAAAAAAAAAAAAAAAAGTGGCCTGGCTTGTGGCAGGGGTAGCAGGTACGTGTCATGGTAAAGCTCTTCTTGGAACCCTAAGAATCAGACTTAAGGTCTGTGATTTTAAGGCCACAATAAAGGCAGCCAATTTTTTGGTCTCTTTGTTTTCTCTCTTTGGTTTTCTCCCAGTCCTGATTACAGAACACTAAGGAGGCAGTTTTTACTAAAGAATCAAGTGAACTATCTGCAGTAAAGGCTATGTTTTGTAGCTTTTTTCTAATGTCTGAATTGGCTGAGTAATAAACATGTCGTTAAGCAAAATCTGTGCCTCTATTGAATCAGGATCTATGGAAATATGTTTTATTAGTGCCTCTGATAAACTATTTAAGAAATTAGAGGGACTGCCATCTTTTTCCTGAGAAATAGCTGACAATTTAAAATAACTATAAGGCTTGGTTTTTGTCTCTCTTAGACTTTCAAGAATACACACTTGAAAATGTCTCTTGTTTCAATCTCCTGTATTGTTGTCAAGTCACTTGGAGTCTTGGGTAGGAACTGTTTGTGCACCGGTGGGAACTGGTGGTTTCCTTGGCTGTCCATCTTCTGGTCTTCTAAAATTAACAATATGATATTCATCTCCAAAGGTAATAGCAGCTTGGAATGCTGCTTGTCTCTCACGAGAAGTCAATGTTGGATTTAAGAGTAACATTACATCTTTCCAGCCTAGCTCATAGATCTGACTAAATCTTCTAAGGATCTCAATATACTTATCAGTGTCATCTGAAAATTTTCCTAGTTTAGCTTGATTTGCTTTAAGTCGCTGAGAGAAAGAGACCTATGAATGGAAGTGGTCTTTTAAGAATTATAATTATACCAGGAGGATAGATAAGACTTATTTTTTAACATTATGCATAAAGTTTCAACATAATGCAATTCTAACTGTTTTTCCTCTTTCTTACAGTATGATTTTAGTTGTAAAAGAACATCATAATTAATACTTCCCTCTGTGTTCCGCTTTGGCTCTAGGGGCTAGGTAGGCTATGCAAAGGTACTTGTGCAAAGAGATACCAACTGGCTCTTTTTCAACATGCAAGGGTCAAACATTTTCCAGTGCTTAAGAATGTATTCCAAAAGGGGTAAGGGGATTTGGCATTGAACTGCTCATGCCTCCATCCAATGATTTCTATGGAAGATCTTCAATGGGGGAATGAAATTCCCAACCTGCTATATGTCTGGAATGGATTCGTGTTCTTTAAAATTGAAGAATGAATTTTAGAAACAATGGAGGTTAAGAGCAGAAATATTTATTAACAGAAAGGAAGCTTCTGTTTAAGGGAGAGACAGAAGGGGTCCTGAATGGGTTGCCCTGTTATATTTTTTAGAAGAAGCTAAAAGATTGTATTGCTTATAGCTAAACTTGAGAACAAAAGCCTTAGCTAGATTTTCATGAGCCACAGGCCACACTTGGCCTGCAGTTGTGTTTTATCTTGCATTATTTTATACTGGACAGCATTAATTATATTTGTTCTGCATGGTGAATTGACTGAAGTTGGTCACTGGCTACTTATTTTGAAAAAAGGCATGCATTTTTCAGTTTTTTTTTATTTGTATATACCAATAAGACTTCCTGACTCTCAGGCTCAGTGCCAGCTTCTATTTGCTTCTGTGCTTGTCCTTCTATATTATTTATAATATAAATGGAAAGGTGATAAAATGAATTTCTCTACCTCCAAATTAATTTTTTTTTAAAATACAGAAGTCAAAGACTTATAAAACTGTATTGTACTGATAGGTGATTTTTGTATGCAACAGCACCAGACAAAGTAATATATTGGAACAATGAGAATGTATTATCCAGAGAAATAAAAACTCACATCAGTTGTACACGAATGATCATAGTAGCTTCATTCATTATAGACAGAAACAG